TCACACATATGCTTCCTCCGACCGGCAGAGACTCGCACAAACCGGACACAGACATACGAACACACGCAAACAAAAACACACCTTCGAACACACTCGGAAAATGTTCTCACGCAAATGCATAAATATACACGTGTACATAACCTTTTTTTTCATGGATGTATACATAGACCCTCTGATTAATAAGTATATCTCTGTATATACATACGGCATATATAGATATATAGATAGATAGATAGATGGTTAGATAGATAGATATAGAGATAGATAGATCGATAGATAGATAGATAGATAGATAGATAGATAGATAGATAGATAGATAGATAGATAGATAGATAGATAGATAGACAGATAGATAGATAGATAGATAGATAGATAGACAGATAGATGATAGATAGATAGATAGAGAGAGAGAGAGAGAGAGAGAGAGAGAGAGAAAGAGATAGATAGATAGATAGACATATAGACAGATAGATAGACAGATACACATACAAGCAGATTTACACACACACAGAACCCCTCCTTCCCATCCACACACCTGAAGAAACACACACACACACACACACGGAAACCCCGCCGCAAAAAAACACACACACATAAACACGCACGGAAAACCCGCCCGCAAAAAAAAAAAAAAAAAAAAAACAATAAAAAAAACATACACACGCCGCCCACCACAACAAACAGACAGCTCACTCGTTTTCCCACAATTATCGAGAAAGCTCCTTGGCGACACCCGGTGGGACAGTCAGCGTGGGCGGGGACAGTGGCGAGGGGGGGAGGGGGTGGGGAGAGGGGGGATGGAGTGGGCGGTGGAATGGGACAGTGGGTGGGTGGATAGTGGGTAGCGGGGTAGGATAATGGGCGTTGGAATGGGACAGTGAGGCGAGGGGGGGATGAGAGTGGCGGGATAGTGGGCAGCGGGCGTCGAGTGGGATAGTGGGCGGGGCGGGCAGAGATGGGTATAGAGGCGGTTAAACGGGAGTAAAGAATTTTTTTTTTTTTTTTCTTTTTTTTTTTTTTTTTTAGAGGGATGGAAACACGGCGAAAAAAAATGAGGTAGTGGGTATGGATTATAGACTGTATATGAGGATTTCCGCGTCCAAATGGTGCTTTTTTCAGACCAAACACCCCCCAAAATACGTACATGTTTTAATTTTTGTTCATTCAAACTATCATATAACACAAGCATCGATATGTTCACGTTATTACACTAAAATCAATCGATAAAGTTACACTACGATAAACACATCAAGGCCCATATTAAAAATCAAAGTTAAGATCAACAAAATATTTAACAAACAAATTTTCTTTAATTGAAATATCGGGAAAATTGTAAAGAAAACATGAAATCGTGACTTTTCGAGTAAAATTAGTCTCCTCTTCAGATGACAAAAGCCTATTTTTTCTCCATCTTATTGCCTTTTTTTCTCATTTCACCTTTATAAACATTTTTCTGTTTGTGTTTATGAATACATGTACGTCTTTGTAACGTATATATATAAATAGTTCGATTGAGCTGTTCTATCAACTCGAAACTGGCTATATAACATGAAAGCCGGTCATGGACTGTCCATAAATATGTTATTACTATGTGCATATGTGTATGTATATGTTATTACTGTAGTTTTATTCTCATGCCTTGTCATACTGAATTTAACACCCAAATTAATTTCAGACCGCCCCTCTCACGTTTATTAACATTATTAAATACATCATACAGGAAAAGACTATTCTTTTAACACGATTAGATAGAGAATAAAAGACAATTAAAATACCTGCTCCCCCCAAAATAAATATATAAATTAATTAATAAATAAAAACAACAACTAAACAAGACAATGGGACAGTGGGTGGGTGGACAGTGGGTAAGCGGTAATAGTGGGCGGTGGAGCGGGACAGTGGGCAGGCGAGGGGTGGGGGTAAGAGTGGGCGGGATAGTGGGCAGCGGGCGGTCGAGTGGGATAGTGGGCGGGGGTGGGGCAGAGACGGTATAGAGGCGGTTAAACGGGAGTAAAGAAATGTTTTTTTTTTTTTTTTTTTTTTTTATTTTTTTTTAGAGGGATGGAAACACGGCGAAAAAAAAATGAGGAAGTGGGTATGGATTATAGACTGTATATGAGGATTTCCGCGTCCAAATGGTATTTTTTTCAGACCAAACACCCAAAGAAATACGTACATGTTTTCATTTTGTTCATTCAAACTATCATATAACATCGATATGTTCACGTTATTACACTAAAATCAATCGATAAAGTTACACTACGATAAACACATCAAGGCTTATATCAAAAATCAAAGTTAAGATCAACAAAATATTTAACAAACAAATTTTCTTTAATTGAAATATCGGGAAAATTGTAAAGAAAACATTAAATCGTGACTTCGAGTAAAATCAGATGACAAAAGGCTATTTTTTCCATCTTATTACCTTTTTTTTCTCATTTCACCTTTATAAACATTTTTCTGTTTGTGTTTATGAATATATGTACGTCTACGTAAAATATATATATATATAGTTCGACTTGAGCTGTTCTTTCAACTCGAAACTGGCTATATAACATGAAAGCCGTTCATGGACTGTCCATAAATATGTTATTACTATATGTATATGTATATGTGCATGTTATTACTGTAGTTTTATTTTCATGCCTTGTTATACTGAATTTAACACCCAATTAATATCAGACCGCCCCTCTAACGTTTATTAACATTATTAAATACATCATATGAAAAAAGACTAAGAAAAAAAATGTTTATCAACACGATTAGATAGAGAATAAAAGACAATTCAAATACCCCCTCCCCCCAAAAAAAAAAAATATATATATATATATAAATTGATTAATAGATAAAAACAGCAACTAAATAAGACAATTCAACCCCCCCCCAAAAAAACGAAAAAAACACCAAAACAGAAATAAGACTTACCTGTACTT